TGTAACCGGCACATAATCAAAACCGAGAACGACAACAGAGAAGAAGTAAGAGCGACAGAGAGGAATAGAGACAGAGCAGAGAAAAAAAAACGACAGACACCCAAAAATGAAACAACAGTCCTACGTGTGCAATGTAACTAGTGCAAAATATGTGTGCATGTGTGTGTAAGAGTGCATTTGGTAAAAACATTGAAGATAAAACTTATATATCCCCCCCGCTTGGCCGTTTGCCGCTCGCACGGTCCCTCACTCACTCTCACTCGTTCCGAAACGAGTGTTTGGCAAAATACAAAAAGAAGAAGAAAAAGTATTGTAAAATTAGCATATTTGTTGGGTCCCCATTCACTTCTCTCGTTTCTTTTGTGGATTGCAGTATTGCGACGGCGGTGGCAAACAACACACAAACACACACAGAATGGCTGATATGTTAACATTGTCGGCGGGAAAGATGCGCATTCGATGCACTACAGCGAAGTAACCAAGAGAAAAATACAAACATTGAACGAGAAAAGTATATCGTGCATTTCAGCAATTTCAACAGTGCTTTACACACACACACGCGCGCGCGCACAAAAATTTGCCTGTATCCCCCAAAAATTGTAAAAGTCTCCAAAACTGGCTTCTTTTTTTCGATTCGTGCGAAATGACAGCGACACTGAGAAACACACACACACACAGAGAGAGAGAGAGAGAGAGAGAGAGTGCTGGCACTGTGCATTGCACCCGGTTCTTGGGGATGCTTTTGTGTATATGTGTGAGTGTTTGTGCTGCTGTTCGATCCGTTCCATCGTATCTCGCACTTTTGCATGTTTGTCCTCCGAATGAGTGAGCAAAAAAAACCATTCCAATAGCGAAAAGTATGAGAGCAACTCAACGGAAAACGGAAAAACGGAATCGGGAGCGGGTTGCTAGTCAAAATATGGCAAGATTTAACCAATTTAAATAAATCTGTATAATTTAGGTGTACTATCTGCATATGCACACACGCTACTACATTGGGATCTAAGGCTCACTCCGGTTTTTTCTTCTTCTTAGACCATTTTATTTTCATTTCGTTATGTTGCTCTTTTTTTGTAAATTCTATCTCTCATTCTCTCGCTCTCTCAACAAGTTTGTGAGCCATGCATTGGCGCACCAAAGAACAGCCACATTAAAGGAAGAGAAAGAGTTACAGAGAGTGAAGGAGAGAGGAAATAAAATATTCATTATAGCTTACAATACAAAATAACCAGGTTTTTTTCTTTATCCTCGGCTCGAACGCCACTGCAATTTTATTTATTCAGTGTATTCTCTTTGCGGTTCGGCTAGTTCATTGTAATTAACGTTATTTTTTTTCATTTCGCATTTTCGCCTACTCTTTCTCCCTCTGTCGACGGTTGTTTCGATGCAATTCCGTTTCGCCTAGCAAGCTTGCCTTGCCGTAAAGTAAAACGAAACAAGTTTTCATTCAGTTCGCATTGTGATCGTATTTTGCGCCGTTTGTCATTTGGCATAATGCACAAAACAATCAAAAGTACATTTTGAATTATGCAAACATAAATATGAGCACATAAAACACGATGCAAGAATTCATGACATGGTGTTGGGAGCAAACTATCTTCCTCTCTCTCTCTCTCACACACACACACTCTTTCTTCCGTTCGAATAATAACGATTAACAATTCCAAATATAAATATTGTGAACGATTTTCGCTTGCATTAAAGTCAACTTGTACCATATTTCCAACAGCGCAATCAATACTCGTTCGCTGAATTTTATTTTATTTTTCGTTTGTCACCGTTGCCACCCTGTCGCGCCGCCAATTTGAGAAGTTTCACAATGCAATACCATTTCATAGTATGAAATTCATACAGCTCCGAATTTAAACTTGATAATTATTTCGAATGAACCTAGGCATTTGTCTAGTTTTCAGTCGATTACAAATTTTCATTCGAATATTATGCGTTTTAAGGATGGAAAATATGCATTTCCAAATAATGCATGTTACCAAATTGTCTTCCTCCCGTGCACGATTTCTCTCTCTCTCTCTCTCTCTCTCTCTCTCTCTCTCTCTCACCCGTCATGCCAGTTGCTCGAATGTTCGCTTTTGGCTCTATCACAAATACATATTCCATGCAATGGCACACAAAGTCAGGTTCAATTTATTCACATCTACAGTGCGCGCCTGCATGTGCTAATTACATTTTAATATGGTTTCTCTTTTTTATGAGATTAAAACTGACGCGGAAGAACACTTTCCCGGATCTCCTTTCCGTATGCATCGATTACTGTGTGGTGGTGGTGTTGTTGTTGATGTCGGGCGGAATGGAAGGGGAAATGACACTCAACTCGACGATATTTGCACAGTATCTTTTTTCGTTTTGCCTATTTTGTTAGTCATTTGCACTTTCCTTGATGCATACAAACACACATGTACTACGTGTGGTGGAATGTTTTTCAAAGTAATTTGGTTTTGTGCAATATTTACGTGTAGTATTTGTAATTAACATCAAAGTCATTTGGGCGAAAATAGTTTGGCAAATTCATGGCCATTCGTGCGAATAATCTTCTGCTTCGTGCCGATGCATCAGCCAGAAGCGACATGCAAAAGCTTTCATTTGAATAGCAACTGAAATTTATGAAATAAATGGCTTTCGTTGCCGAAAAACGCAAATTTTTCAAAACTTTTACTATCGTCAATATCTTGGGGCCAACGTTAACTAAGCCGAATGAATGAATATTGACGACACATACATGTGTGTGTTTTTCTCTCTCGTTCGGAAATGAAAACTCTTATCTTTAACTTTTAGCTCGACTTATTGACGTCGTTATTATATGGATATGGTTTAACAGTGTCAATACATGCAATTGTAGCGTGTTGAATCCTGAGATAAACCAATCTGCGCATCATTTCTTTCAACAACAACAACAACAACAAAAAAACAACAGAAAAGAATGTCAATGCACAGAATATGTACATTAAATTGTCAACATATGTTCTAACTGCCATTTAATAAACATGCAAATCATTATCAGACCAACCGCCCCTCATCCCCCAAACATGAACTCGAGTGGAAATAATACAGAAATGGAGAATGGGAGAAAGAGTGAAAACAAAAGCGTAAAAAAGGCAGTAAAACCCAAAGCAAGTGTACGCTTGTAACAATATTTGTTTGGCTTGATGAACTCGATACCTTATACAAATATATATTTCAACGATGATTTCAAGCCAGTTTTTTCTTCACTCTCTCACACACGCACACATTCACAATTTTTTTCCCTCCTGATTATCGTTTGAGTGAGGTTGGGCCCGCATGGAAAAGTGGTTTGTAAATGTTACGAAAAAGTTGTTCGAAATCCATCCATTCGTTTATGAAAAAAAAAGAAGAAGTTACACTCTCATATTTGCTCACACCACCAAAATAACAAGCGGAAAAATGAAAGATTAAGAGAAAAAACTGCGAAAATATGCACTTGCCAAATTGAAAATCAGCACACAGAAACATAGATCGCATACAAGCCTCCTCTACCTTCTAAAAAAATGGTTACCAAACGAAAAAAAAATATGAGAAGGCGGCAAAGGAGGATTGAGGGAAAAAAGATTGGGCGAATCAATGTGAGAATGAAACAAAAAGCATTTCGACATTACAGACAAGCACATACGATTCCTCCCGGTAAAAATCATCAGTAAAACTGAGACGCGAGCTCAATAGAAATAAATTTGGAACAAAAGTTGAAAAAAAAAACACACACACACACACACATACACACACATACACCGAAGCGAACGAGAGAGAAGGAGAGAAAAGGCAGCGACGACGACGAAGACGACGACGGCAACGAAAGTAGTAACGACCGAAAATTAAATGGTGTGGAATGTACTGGAAATGAAGCACGAATGTGTTTAACACTTTTAATGTTAAAACGACACGAGTCTCACGCTTTGGCACAATCGCTGCCACTACATATTCGCTGATTTACCTTTGGCTAGTTGCTCTGCCTCGCAAGCAGGACGCATCTCTGTGGGCAAAATTATCGATGCTTTGTCGTGCATAATCTAACATCCTTTTTTCAAAGAAAAAAAAAGAAGAACTCATTCTCTTTCTCTCTAGTCTTTCATCTCACACACATTCAGTGCATAACCGTTTCGTTTTTTTGTTTCTTCTTGTGTGTGTATACATGTGTGTGTGTGTGTGTTTGAAATGGTCGTGCTCATTCTCACGGCCCATTATTTTATCGCGTGCAACGAAGGATTCATTATACCCTTTTTCTCAACCAAAAAACTTTTTCTCCGGTTGCGCAAATTTCAGTGTGGGAAATCGAATCGGTTCCTCTAACATTTCATTCATTCGCCCAGTTTATTTCGTCGATTAAGGAGTGCGCGCGAGTGAGCGATCGTCATCGTTCTACATCATTTTAGCGATGCGCTTTGCTCCCATTTCGCAAGCACTAGCACTTTGCTGCGCGTTTGATTCATTAGGACATCGTGGAAAAATTGGTTAAGGAAAAGATATTTTTTTTTCCAATGGAAGCGAATGCGAACGACGATGACGATGACAAAATTACACGAAAATTACGCTTTGACCACAGAGATGATGGAATGTCGTCGCAGCAAAAATCCACCAATACAACAAATTTACTACTTTCTTCCACTCTAGCTCACTCATTCATTTACTCAGTCGGTCGTTCCCATTCAATTTCACTTGCAAACTTCGCTTTTATTTCGTAATTTAATCAGACAACCGCACAATCAGACAGGTTAAATTGTTAGAAAACAAATTGAACGTGGAAAAATCGACAAATTTAAAATGCGTTCCATGGCGCTTTCTGCCACAAAGTTCACATGGTTGACTATGAATCTTTTAGTGATTTCGCATAGTTTACTTTTGCGCATCTTGAAACTTGTAACTTCGTCTTCGGTGCAGTGTAAATAAAATCGCTCGAAAGGGGAAACCATCGTTTCAAATTGGTTGAAATTAATTATGTTTTTAAAATAGAAAAAAATTTCAAATATGTTTACCGTCGTGACTATCGTAAAGGTAAATGATTTTCTCCCATCCATAATGACGTATGGTGTCGATGATTGCTTCATGGTAGTCGGGCCGCATACTTATTGCAAAATCCAAGAAACCAGACGATGGCGTCAATACCTGTAATCAGAAAAAGAGGAAAATTTTTGCTTATTTAATAAAAGCTGTGGAAAAATATTGGTGACGTTTTTGTCCTTTCATCACTCGTAAATTATAAATTAGCTCAATTAATTCAATATGTTTAATAAAATTTTATCTGAAATACTCGGCCGACGTACTAATTTATCTGATTACCTTGGGATTCTGTAAACATGAGCTTGATTGAAAATGTGTCGTGTTAAAAATGAATTTCAGTGTAACAAGTTGAGTGCAAAGAGAATTTTTGGCTGCAATAGAATGTATTGATCGTTATGGTATGTAGAATGCTTTGTACATTGTTATTAGGCGTGGATCGAAAAATCAATTGATTTTACACAACACATTATTGAGTGTTGCATAGCAATAACAACAAAAGCAGCACCACCACCACCACCAGCAGCTGCAACAGTCACTCGTTTTCCGTCTCTTGTTCCGAAACTTGAATGCATTGGCACACAATGTGCCACACACGAAATGCATACAATACAACAATGCAGTAGTTTTGAGGTGATTCAGTTGATACAGCAGAGCTGCTAGCATCTCTAGCAGACACATATTTTCCATTTAATTTAATTGATATATTCGATCTCTGGCAAATTCAACGCCTTTTAATAACCAAACTTCAACGCCAATACGTCAGCATTGATAAGTTACGATATTGACTGTGCACAATATGCATGAATGCTTGCATCTCGCTCATTTTCGCTCATTCTATCTCACTCTCTCAACTCTCTGTCGTCTTTACATCGAATTCGATTAAAGTGAAAATTTAATTGATTAAAGATAAAATTTGCCCGTAAATCGAATACGTAGCTATGTATAAACTGCGGTGTTGTGGATGTGCAATGAAGATGATGATGGCAATAGTAGTAATAATCGTTCGATCAACGCGTTGCATTGATTGAGTACGGACGATGTTATAGAGGTTGACAAATGCCTCAGACACACATCTCAATGATTATTAGGGTTGTGTGAGATGGTTTTTTTTACCCTTTCTCTCTGTCACTTTTTTTTTCTGATCACACCATGTCTTCACCATGTATCGCACAATAACGAGCGAAAAATGTGTGAGTGTAACAACGCTCTCTTGCCAATATGCATTTTAAATGCAAGAATTTTCGTATCGATTGGATGGCATGTATCTCCGTTAAAAGTCCCGTTTAAAGAGGGCAAGAGAGAACGAGATAGATGGAACGAGAGGAAAAAGGCTTTATCGAGCAAGAAAGATGAATTGGCCAAAGAATGTCAGTTGCAGTTATACCATGACATCCATCCTAACCCATACAGGTCAGTGTAATTAGATTGCTGCACATTCAATGTTTCTCATCTTTCAGACATTTATTGCTAGAATAAATACGTAAATTGGATTTTTTTATTTCTCTCTCTCTCTCTCTTTCATGCTATACTTTGCCACACTGAGTGCATGCGACACACTCTGTGATAGTTCATACGCTTCGGTAATACCGAATCGGTATGTTCATAAATATTTTTAGCCGTGATGCTACTGTTGTTGTGGCTGTTGCTGTGGCTGTTGTTGTTACTGCAGTGCTGTTCGGTTTTTTGGTCACAATGCTGATGATGGGCACTTTGAGTGGAGCATTATATGGAAGTTTCTTTGACTATTGATTTGTAATTTCGAACATTGTCATTTGGACGACGAGCATCGGTTTTTCTTTCTAGCCCTCTTCGAATTTCGGTTCATTCGTTCGGTCGTTGGTTGGTCGGTCGGTCGGTTCGTTTACATGGAGCGAGGGCATTCGATTTATTTGCTTCTCGTTGTATATTTTATCACTTCGGAATTGGAGAGTCGATGTGAAAACGTTTCACTCTCAACTTTGCTTTCCAGCAGCGTATCCAGCAAGGATGCAGAATATTTATGTAGTTTCTGTTGGTAAGGTATAATATACCGGAGATTGCTTGTGTCAAAATAATATATGTGTGATTTCCCCCCCCCCCCTTCTCTCTCTCTATCTGTCTCTTTCTCTCTCTTTTTCGTTCACAGAAAAAACTAACACCAGCAGACGCCGAAGCAGTAGTAGTAGCAGAAAAAATACGAAGAAACAAAACGAAAAATCGGTAACAACAACATTATTTTGGGGTGTTCACTTCAACCAAATTCAATTCCTCATACTCAAACATTAATCAGAGAAATACGTGCGAACGAAAAAAAAAGCACACGAAAGAACGAAAAAAAAGAGGAAAAGAAAGATGTTTTTCGAAGAGACGAGAGCACATAATAAAACTTCTATCACTAACTCGAGAGTGCGAGCGCTTTTACTGTGCAAATCGAACACAGCTAAGGTAGTGACAACCAGAAAGGCACAATGATCGAATTTTTGTTTGCGACACCGAAGAAGACGTCAAACATCGAAGAAGCGAAAGAAATGAAGAACGAACGAACGACGGAAACAAAAAAATGACAAGCAAAATGAATGCTTGGAACAATCAGCGAAAAAATGACCTTTGACACATTGGAGAAATAGCCATATCGTTTTATATCTTTTTCATCAATGTATTACTTTCATCTTTCATATGTCTTTCAAAACAGAAAAATATATTTGGCTGCTATGTGCTTGTTTTATTTTCTCGTCGTCATCATCGGCATCTTCTTCTTTCCCATTTCAGTTCCGTCATTCTGACGCTTAGCTTTTTGAATTCATGCATAAAACAAAAAGATAGAGAGAGAGAGAGAGAGTAAAAGTGTAAAAATCCGTAACAAAATCATTTATCATTTTCATCATAGCACATCAATCGAAAAGGTGAAACCATTTGGCATGTCAAAAAGAGTCAAAACTTTTACAAAGTAGGAAAAGTGGGGAAAAATCAGACCCGTAACTCAGTCAACCGCTCTTGCTAATATATATATGTATATCTATGGGTAAATAGATTTTTGTGTACTATCAACATCATGAGAAAACGCATAAATTTTTATATTCTGAGACTGTGTGAGAAGGATAGTTAGATATATATGTGCATGAAACGGACGAAAGAAGTCCTCACATATTACCTCAATAATCGCCCCGAATGTGGATAAAGAATGAGAAATTCTATCTAACCATAAGAAGTGCGAAAAGAAACAAAAACAACAACGAAAAAAAAACGAGAAAAACTGAACATGAAAAGTGAGATGTGAGTGGTGAAGAGCAAACACACGCAGACTGGGAAGAGAGAGAGAAAGAAATCCATATAAGTAGCAGCGAACTAAAGCTAAATGTAAATGACACAGAAATTTAGATGAAACGTGAACGCACATACACAAACTCTGTGTGACACAAAGTGAAGAAGTGTAGAAACTACCGTTATATTTCTTAACTGTTGTATTTTTTCTTCTTCTTGCGTTGTTCTTTCTCTCTCTCTCTCTTCGTTCGGTATCATTCTGTCATGTACAAGTTCGGGACGGGCTGGGCTCTTCAGTGGTGAGTGTGAATTTCAAAGAGAGAGAGAGGTGTGCATGATGAAAACGCGTACAAACCCAACAAAATGGATAAAGAACTGTAAGATAAACCGGTTTTCGTCGATGTTGAAGTGAATTTTGATTCGGAGGCTTAAATGGGTTTACGTTTTAACTTCTCTCTCTCTCTCTCTCTCTCTCGCTCTCTCTCTCTATCTCTTTGTGTTGTTGTAGTTGCTTGCTAGTCTCCTCTGTTGGCCTCGTGAGTTTCTGATGCGATTCCACGGCGGGAATGTACACCACATTAGGTGTATATGTCGTGTATGTAGTGTACATGTACATGTACATCCCATCAATATTTGAAAGCTGCGTCAATGCTTGTGTGCAGAGGAAGAGAAGCATGTGACTTCTCGAAGTAAGAAAACTTTACCAAATCCCCGTGGGTGTTTTCTGACTCTCTCTCACTCTCTCTCTCTCTGTTGTTGTTGTTGTTTTCATCGCTCTGCTCGTTGTTGTTTGCAGCTCTATTTTTGTAGTTTATTCGCTTTTTTCATCTATTTTTTCCCCTTCTGGACTGCGTTTCGATCGACGTCTATTTAATAAACTGCACATAGTGGAAGACCTCTCATTGACGTAACAGAAGCCAAACATGTGACAACTACTTGGATCGTAATAGTGGTATTGCAAAGGCGGATGCATCGCTCGGGTTTAACCTTTTGCTGCTTACTTAACCAAACACATCGATCGAGTTTTGTAGTTCAGTTTCTCTGTATATATCAGTTTCTGGCTGTCATTTGCAATAACATCACAATGTGCACTTGCGAAACGGTTGCGTTGAGTCGAACTCAACAGAAACAGACTCTCTCTCACTCGTTTTGCATGCCCGTCTTTCTTCATTCCGTATTCATTGTCCAATACTCACAGCAACTATCATACAAATTCACGAGATACATATTTATTTTTTGAGCTGTTCGCTTTGTTGTTCGGTTTGAGTTGCGTTTTGTTTCGCATTTGGCCGTTCATCTTGTACGGTTAATTCCTTGGTGTGAGTTTATTCTTGAACGCTTTTTTTTTGGTTATGCTTTAACTATCTTCTCACTCGCTCACTTCCTTAGTTCCCTGTCGGTCGCACTCTCTTCTCCTCAGTTACCATCATTATCTATCTAGCTGCTACATATTTGACATTCGCCAAGAGACATTGCCAATGCTTTGCCATGCCAAACTAAATATGTATATGTTTCACTTGTCGAAAGTGAATATTTGCTACGCAAAAACACACCCTGAATATTTAGTAGTGTATTTACATTTTGGTTAGTTTGATGTTTATCTCTTCTGGAAATGTGCCGCTCTTATGACCGGAAACCGCTCTTATGCTGTCTCATTTTATGCACCCAGCATGGCTCGCAATGACCTACAGCAACGAGCCATTTTGATCATGCGATGCGCGCTCACATCATCAAAATCATGATGAAATTCATTATAGCAATTGTTTAAGATAGCAACAAATATGCTTGAATTATTTCCCAAAGAATGACTAAAATGACAATGGAGTCAATTTAAAAAGAAGGAAAAAATCACGATAACTCAATGT